CCTACCCATACAGATGAGTGTTGAGTAAGAAATAATCTCACCATGGCATTTATGGTCCTAGATAATAAGATTTCAAAATTCAAGTGACAGAATACTTAAATCTAAGGGAAAACCTAAATGGGAAATTTGTGGAAAGCCACTGACTATGAGCCATGAGATTACAGAAGTTTGCTACTATTGCTTATTATACTCTTTCGCAGAGGAAATATTACACGTTTATGTGTGAATTTTTGGTTTTCATTTTTTATGGTTACCCTGACAAAACAACAATGGCTAGGTATCTACAAATTGGAAATACAAACCCAGAGCAATGGAAGCAATAGGGTTTTTAGGAAGGGGTAAGTGTGGCTGTTCGGGTGTAAAGGTTTTTGTAAGAAACGTCCCACAGGCCCGGAGGGAAGCCACGGGGATGGGAAGGATGCCACGCCCTGTAGTTACCCTTGTTGGCAGCAGATGGCAGCAGAGAGAGAGGCTTTGCACACCTCTGGGGGTTCTGGTCTGGACTGAGGGCTTCTGAGAAAAGGTTCAGTTATCACATCAAATAGTAGAAAAGGTCTTTGATAAGTTATTCAGCTTCTCCAAGAAATGGAAAAAGCCAAAGTAACCACATCGCAGGTCTTTTCCTGGCCAAAGACAGCCATCTCTCATGATTTAGCTTTTTGTTTCTGAAGGTCCCCAAAACAAACCATTTCACACTCTGTGCTTTCGGTGGTGCTTTGGTGCTCCTGCCTCACCCAGCTGGTTCCATACTGTACTTTTTTTGTGTGTTTTTTTAAAGTTTTTTTTCTTTAATGTTTATGTTTGGTGGGGGAGGGGCAGAGAGTGAGGGAGACAGAGGATCCGAATCGACCTCTGCACTAATAGCAGAAAGCCCGATATGGGGCTTGAACTCACAAGCTGTGAGATCATGACCTGAGCGGAAGTGGGTGCTTAGCCGACTGAGCTGCCCACGTGCTCCCATACTGTACTGTTTTGTATGGTAACCGCCTCATACCCCTCTGTCCTCCACATTGTGATCCTTTAAAATCATCTTTGTATTTGCCAGAGGCTTAGACAATGCTCTGCACATAGAAGGAGCTCAATAGATGTGGTTTTTTTTAATGGATAATGAAATGGTAAACATTATTAAATATTTTTGTAAGATACTTCACAAAGTTGGTCATAATATCCATGCTATTAAGATGAAAACTTGTGAGTTAGATGCAGCTAATTCACTCCAAACTCAAGTTATGCTGACATGAGTTGGAAGGAAATCTTGGGTGGTGTTCCATATACAACATTTTTATTGGCTTAAGTAACTATAGAGAAAGCAGGCTAATTAAACTGACACATGACATAAAGTTGGAAAGAATTGCCAATAAACTGAATACAGGGCTCAGAAAGATCTGGATGGACTAGAGGGATGAGCCAAAATCAGCAAGATGAAATTCGACAGGGAAAACGTTAGAGGCTTGTATTTAGGTTGGAAAAATCCATGTGACATGTAGAATACATTTTGGTAGGAGGTGGGAGGCAGTGGGAAGAGAAGGGGCGGGGGGAGTACTCTGTGAAAACTTGGAAACAGAGCGACTGTTCATGGACATGGTGGCAGTTCAACAGTTTGTGGCTCCGTCATTCTATGGAATATTGTACATCTGTTAAAAAAAAAAAAAAACAAGTTAGATCTATACATACCGACCTGGAAAGATTTCCAAGACGTATTACTAGATGAGAAGCTACCACGGAAAAAAGTATGTAAGAAATGCAAACCAAAGTAGTTATGTATGTATATCTCTATATCTACATATACATCTGCCATTGCATAGAAAAAAGATTGGAAGGATGCACATTGAGGTCTTAATACTGATACTTCTGAGTAGGACTATGAAATGAGACTTTCACTTGACTTTATATACTTCTGCGTTTCATTTTAAATGCAAATGTATTTGTATATTAATTCTGTAATTACATAAATCATCTTGTAACTGAAAGTGAGGAAAGGTGACGAGGCCGTTAAAAATGTCCCTCAAAATTAACGTGTGATACCGCGTCTAGAATAGTCACCCCAATGCTGGGCCACGCTGGAGTGCTGCACCTAGTGCTGGGCACCGTCCGCCTTCTGGAAGACACTGAGGGGGAGCCTAGCGACCCCTGGCACACTTATCCCTGCTTGACTGCCAGAGGTTAGAAAATGTGTTTTGTTCTCTCTTATTTGCTTGTACCTCGTAGGTTGGTACACAGTAGTTGCTTCATATTGGATGAACCAATGAATGACTGAGAAATGTGGGGCTATATAGCTGGAAAATAAAGTTGAGGTTGAACTTGGATCTGTTCTCAGCTCTTCAAGGTTCTCAAGTGGAAAATAGACTTCCTCTGGGTCCACCAGAGGGCAGAACAGATGCTGGAAAGCTGGTGTTATAAACAGATTTCTGCACAATAGGGAATTCTTCTGATGGCCTCCAGCCCCCGCCTTCTTTGGCCTCATCTCCTCCCAGTCTCTCCCTGACTCTGGTGTCCCGGCCTCTCTCTTCCTGGATGACTCTTCCCTGAGATATCCGTTTGGCTTGCTTCTCCTATGCCTCTTAGCAGAGAGGCCTTCCCTGACCACCCTACATCGAACAGCGATTCTCATCGGCCCTGGCCCTCCCTAGTTCCCGTATGCACAGAAAGTTCCGTTGCACTTATCTGCAGCATAGATAATCGACAGGGATTTGTTTGTAGCCTGCCTCCTTCAACATGAAGGCAGAGATTTTGTTTTGTTTGCAGTCCCGGCGCCCAGTAGCTCCTGGCACTCCGCTGGCCCTTGGTAAATATTGGCTGAGTAAATGAATAATTCGAGATGCGCAGGAGTGGAATGGAGTGTCTCTGGAAGTCAGGACTTCTTCTTAACCCTATCAGCACTGGGGAAGATGGGGCGTCCCTACGGTGTTGGCTACTAGCTTCAGGAATTAAATGCACTGGGAGAATTCTGGAAGTCCAACCCACACCCTTTGTGTGATAGGACTGTCTGCTCGTGGCCTTTGAGTATGATAGGTTACCTCCCCGAAAGGCACCTTCCTGGTCCATTCAATAGGAATGATACTATCCGAAGGCCTAAGACTGCCAGATTATCCGTGAGGATTAAATGAGATCATATGCATAAAACGCGTGGTAACAGAGACTAACTAGATGAATGGACGCTTTATGACCCTGTTGACTTTTCTTTAATCATAGACTAACATAACTGTCGGAACCCTACCTTTTTATGCCGTGGCTTCTGCACCTAGCCTCTCCTCTCTCTCTATTGTGCTTACATCAGATTTAGTACAAATGTGCCATTTTTTTTCCAGCTTCCAGTTTGTCAAGCTCTGCTTGAGTCGTTTCTATCTAAAATACCACCCGTCATCTTCCCAGCTTGGGATCTATCTCATGGAACACAGATGGCAATATTTTACTTAGCACTTCACTACGTAGAAAGCTTTTACAGAAGTTGTCTTACTTAGCTTTCCATTAACCTTGGAAAGTACCAGTAAGCCCACTGTAAGATGAGAGAACTGAGGTGCGGAGAATTAAGTGAGCTCTTGCAATACCCACCAGACGCCCCTCTTGGCACGTTGCCTGCTGCTGTCTAGTCGACTGCCGAGGTCGGTGACAGCAGTGATGGTCAGCTCGGGCCAGGCCACCCTGGAGAATACTGCCTGCGTCCTCCTGAGTCGGCCCTCATTCACTCACTGCCAATTGCCACCCGCCTTTTGACAGTTGTGCATCTACGGAAGAGTTGAGACCACGAGTGCCAGCTTACTAGCAAACCTTGTGCCAGATAAATTGGCAGCTGGGCCGCACCCACCGTTTCACAAGCTTTCAAGGTCAAATACGTGGATGCCCAGCCAGTGCGGAGGCCCTCCTGGAGGCTGGCCAATGACCTTGATGCAGTCAGGCCGGCCCAGGGTCTTTTGGTGGTCCCTTTTGAAAAACAAAAACAAAAGCCCCAAACAGAGGTTTTTCTTACCTAGCACAAATGATAAATTCGAGATATGTACTGAGGATTAAATTCATGTTCAAAGCTCAAGCTCTAATTTTCAGGCGTGTGGCCAGACCGCTCTATAAGCTCTTCAAAGTGGTCAGTAGTGATCTGGAATTATTTTGGTCTAGTCTTTTAAAACCTTGAGAGGAACGACCTTCACAACGTATAAGAATGAACACATCTATCTTAAAAATCGTGTGCCGTTTTAACAGCCTGTGTGCAGAGCACTTTGGAAGATGACCAGGGACCATTTTTCTCTTTTCTATTACCTGGATGAAAGTTGGCTATTTTTTTGTCCTCTTAAATCCATTTAGAAAGCGAGCGCGTGGCATACGGTTCTCCATAAAAAACATTCCTAAGTATTTATGTGTAAAATGCTGAGGTCCTTGGGCTCAAGGTTCCTCTTACTGAAAAGCCAGAGCCGCTGTTGGCCGGCTGGGGGACAGCCCCTGGAGGCAGGCAGGCCCGCAGACAGCAAGCACTGCCACACACAGGACAGGCTGGCCTGCCTACGGGCTTATTTCCCAATAGAAATGGGCGGTAAGGAATGCAGAGCAGCTTCATCAGACCAGATTCGATTACCTACAAATATACAGAAAGTACATCTCCCAGAAAAGACGCCTTATAGAATTTTTCTCATGCCTCAGCCGAACTTCACCATGAATGACATTTTCAGCTCCTGTGATTCTTCTAGGAGCCAAACCGGTCACGTGAACCCAACTTGGCATCCTGCAGGTTACAAATCCGGTCCACACATCGTGCTGCACGTGTGTTTGTCAAAAACCTGTTGGAGGTGAGCATGCGGCTGGACAAAAATACTCTTTCCCCCTCTCCTGTCAATCTTTCTGGTGACAGAGGCTTTCCTGTACCCGGGCAGAAGAATCCCAGAATGGTGGATGGACACCCTGGTAATTTACCGAGTTGGTGTTATAAAATATAAAATATTAACACAGAACACTGGCTATGGGTTAAAATAAAACCTGCTCTTCTATTAAAAACTGTAAGAGATTTTAAATAGTTATTTTACGAATTAATTATATTTAATATTTTAAATGACATTTGAGACATTACAAAATTATTTAGTTACAAGCATGTAATTAAAGCTATGATTTATTATTACAAAATGTTTTTACAGTGCTTTCTTGGCGACAGAAAAGTGTTTACCCTCATGAAAGTATGTCGAGTACCATTTTTTGGAAACCATGTCAAGCACAGTGATAGTATTAGGGTCCAGTTTGTCCCATAGAACACCTAAATATTTATCTAAACTCTAATTTCTATTTAAAAACAAATGCCTACCAATTCTATTTTCACTTAAGAAAACCGGATGCTAAAGAGGGAAGCAAACTTTTGAAGTAGACGAAACTCATTTTTAATCATTAGAATTTCGAGTCCATCTAAATTCTTTAAAATTTTGTTTCCATCTATTCTTTAAAAACAGTAACTACCACTCCCCCCATTTTGTTCTGCACCATTAAATTGTACTGTGGCAATGAAGCATTCCCAAGCAACCTCTTTAAATCAGTGCTCCCACTGTTGACCACAGTAATGGAAAGGGCAAACACTGTAGAGAGGGCGGCTTGCCCCAGCCTGTAGTCAGTAGTAGCTGGTGGTCCATCCAGCGTGTACTTCTCATGCAAAATTACACCTAAGTTTTTGAAATAAGGCTCTTTGCTAATACAAGCCACCCCTAAGAACTTCTAGTTCGTTTCACGTGTGAGAGGCTGAAATGCTTTTACGGGCTACGTACCACAATGAATACGGCCACCAGCCTCGCAGGGGCGCTGCAAATTACTCATAACTGAAAGGCTCTATTTTAAACTCAATGACAGTATCTAACTGCACACCGTTTACATATCAGAATCTGAGCCTTTGAAATAGGGCTTTGAAGCCTTTGAAATATCACGGTTTTCAGAACATCTTACGGATCAAAAGAACATCTATCCCATTTTAAAGTTTTCACTTAAAAAAGCACAACAGAGTTTGAAGCGTTAGATAACCCTGTCCACTGTTACAGACTAAAACTCCCCAAGTGAATAAAAGAACCAAGAATCTCTATGTTCACCTTTCATTCAGGGAAAACGGCAAAGAGACCCTTAAGGAGATCAAGCAAACCTTCTCAGCATCCTCTTTAGAACCTGGCGTTTCTCTCCTTTCCTCCAAGAAAGAGAAAGAAATGCTGATGTCCTTTGTTTAGAACAGGAGACAGCCTACACCCACAAGCCCTAGCGGCCCGGGGCCTCACTGGAACTAATTTTAGTGAAAATCAGTATAGGCACAGAATCATGCCTTTGTTTTCAAGCTTTAGGAGAGGAGAGCTCTGTTGGAGGCATCTGGAGTTTCACTGACATCCAGAGCAGTTTCAAATGGTTGCGTTTAAGATAGGAATCTGTATCTCGGGAAATGCTGGTGACTGTGCCTTGACAGCAAAGCACCTGTCTGTGCCTCCTCCTTTTCACCCTCTCTTTTATCCACTGGCTGGGTAATGCGTTAAACTGGTTTTTTGGACTTTCCAGAACAATATCTAATTAGCAAATAACACAATTCGGTGACATTTAGCAGGATGCAAATTCCAGACACCGCGATCATGAAAACCGTAAAGACGGTCTTCTCCGTGGGCCTGGAAACAAAGCAGTCCACTGTATTGGGACAAGGCCACGCGTTGCACTTCACCAAGCGCTGCATGGAGAACCCGTCGTACATGATGTAGAAGACGTACATGAAGACTGCTTCAAAGATGACGCGGAAGAAGATGCTGCTGGTGTAGGTCCACCACAGTGACCCTTCGATACGGACCTTCTGGCTTTTGATCTCTTCAATGTCCTTAAATTCATTCTTTATCTCCCCCTTAATGAACTTCCTTTTCTTCTCGTGTCTCCGGTATGCGACATGCATGGCCACCAGGAGAGCCGGCGTGGACACGAAGATCAGCTGGAGAGCCCAGAGTCGGATGTGAGAGATAGGGAAATAGTGATCGTAGCACACATTTTTGCACCCAGGCTGTAGAGTGTTGCAGACGAAATCGGCTTGCTCATCTCCCCACACTTCCTTCGCGGCTACGACAAGGATCATAATGCGGAAAATGAAGAGGACGGTGAGCCAGATTTTCCCAATACTGGTGGAGTGTTTGTTGACGCCCCCCAGAATGGTCTGCAGCGTGCTCCAATCCATCTCCTCCGGGCCGTGTGCGCTGGAAAAGGCAAAGCGAACACAAACACAGGCGTGACTCGTCAGGACGGAACTGGGGAGACTTCTCCGGGTCCCCGGTAAGTGAGCACTCTTAAACCGCCTCGCGAGCAAATACCAACTCTTACGCAACCTCACCCAAAACGATGACAACAAAACCAGCCCAGCTCGCTGTAGGATTAGACGCATAGTTCCCAAACCACCTGGAACGTGTTCGTATGTGTTGTCTAATAAAGACTAGCGTGTTCCCGGGAAGAATTCACCCCGTGCTTGGCACATAACAGAGATGCGGGGGGTGGAGGAGGAGCGCCACAGCAAAAGTACTTGCTAACTTAAAGGCACTAATTAGTGCTGACCGAACTCTGCACTCTGCGGACTGCGCGGGTCACTCAGCCCTTGAACGGGGACCCGCCTGTTACTTCTGCCCGCTAGCCTCAGGTTTTGGACGGTACCACCGGGACCGAGGCTGGCTGAGGCCGGCCTTGCCTTAAAGGCCAACAGACCAACTCCCTGCAGAGCTACCTTCCTTGAAAACATTTCGGTTCACTTTCATGGATTTGGGATGTAACAGTGAAATGACTGTTACCGATGGTAAAGTTTACATCTGAGGCACTCCCAGGTTAAAATTTCACAGAAGGCTTCACTTCCTTTTTCTATATGAAAAGGAACAGGTCAGAATTAGTCTCCCCATGGAGGAAAGCCACCATGCATGGATTTTTGCACATACTTTCTGTGTCTGGATGGGTGGTCCTCACTGCCTCGGTGGGGTGGGACTGATTTGCTCGGTTTAGTACTGAGGGATACAGCTGTTTGGTGACGGCTGTAATTGTGCATTTTTCATTGTGGGTCATGGTTTTAATTTGCAGGCGTTTCTAAAGGTGCACATTAAGAAAAAGGACAGCAAATTTAACTCCGTGATTCCCCGGTCACCGGCCCTACAAGATGAGTCACTGTATTGAAGTTCAGAACCAAAGCCTGCTACTCATGGAAAAGGGATTTGGAGAAGCCTGTGATCAATCTGCCATGAGACAGTGGCCTTCTCTTCATCCCAGGATATGAGCTGCCTTCATTTATTCGTAGTTACAGCCCAACTGTCTCAATCAACCCCTCTTGTAAACAAGATTCCACCTCTCCACAATTCTGGTGAGTGATCGGTTTTCCACCCCTTCTAAGCTGGTAGTGAATCCTCCTTCTTCTCTTACTTAAAAGCATAATGCTCTCCCCACTTGGAACAAGTTGGGTCCCGTTTCCTGATGGACTTCCTAAGCAAGCTGGGAACGAATGCCTTTCGTCACTGCGCCCCATCTTGGGCACTGCCGTGGGGCACTAAGATCTGGCCGGAGCCATCCGACGCCATCCTGGTCAGAGGAGGCAGGAGAGACACGGAGAAGAGTCACAGACACAAAAATTACGGAAGATTGAAATATGCTTGAGACACATTCAGACCTACTCAGCTTGACAAAGAGACACATCGACTGGAAGAAACTGTGGTTTAGTCTGGGTTCAGCCCCGACCCTTTAGATACAGACTGTCTGGGAGGTCCTCAGGTGAACCAAAATTCATCTTTGAACCAAACAGTATCATGAAATTAGACAGTCCGGCTCTTCATCAGCACCGAGTGGAGAGCAGAACACTCACCGAAATAAACTGTCCCTGGTTTAAGTCAATACGTCCGACTAAAAATCGAGGGTGGTCCTTACGCCTTGGCCTCTTCTGCGCTACCAAGGATCACATGCTCTTTTGTAAACCAGTCCAATCACCATCAGCTGAGAAAGATACTGTCGTTTTGTAAAGCTCTCGATCCTTTAAAGGATCTGCTTTAAAGATCCTCTTAGGAAAAGGAGCAAATCACAACGCGCTCCGCAGGAGACACAGGGGTGATAGGTCAAGATGGACTGGCCAAGCAGGATGGAATTGTCCTCGGCATTCAGATCACCCAGGGAGCTGCCTTCCTGCCTTCCCTGACCTGGCAGATGGGTCATGGGCAGGCTCCTACCTGGCCCACACCACCCTGTCATTGTCTGGAGCTGGGCCAGAAGTGGGGTGAGAAGCTGCTTCAGGTCTCTGGGGAAGGCCCCGGGTGAATCACCAGGTCCCAGAAAAGGCAAAAGGAGCTCTTGACCCCTTTCCCTTCTTCTCAGTCCTCACTTTTTGGGTGGTCGACCTCTCCACAGAGGGCCCCACCCCCTCACAGGTGTCTGTAACTGTGACTGACTTAGCACACTAGATTTGAAAGCGACTGAAAGGACTAATGGGGACGTGGCCGTCGCCACCCATCTCAAGACACAGTCCCAAGTAAGTGGTCGTGGTCCTACGTGTCCGCCTGTCGGAAAGCTTGGAGGACACACGCCTTTTGGGCTGATTTCCTCCCGCCAGGGAGGGGGCACCGAAGGGCTAACGCGGCCCGTCCTACAGAACACGCTTCTCAGCTGCAGGCTACCTCGTCTGTAAAAAGTGTCCTGAGAGCGTTCTTTGCAGCAGGAAAACGCCACCTGGGGACAAACGCTCTTGACTGTTGGGCAAAAAGGCAAGCAACCAAACTAACCTCAGGTTCAGGCTGCGTCTAGGTCTCCGGGCTCGCGGGGGCAGGGAGTGCTAGTTAATCCGGCCGGACCTCGACCTGAGTGACTTCCCTCCCCAGGGCAGCGCGAGGAGGTGAAGGTCAGTTTCCTGCTGCGAAGGCTTCCTGCTTTGCCCACGACTTTCTGCAACTTTCTGAACTAATCCTTCGGCCAGCGGAACAGGTCGGGTGGCCGCAGTTACGGCGACCGGGCAGCAGAGCGACAATCTCCCCCAGGAGTGTCTCGACACTCGTCACGCTGAGCCGGAACGGTCCCCTCCCCCGCCCCGCGCGCCCAGCCCGGTCACGGCCCCGGCTTCGGTTACCACGTCCCCTTCTCCGGCGCTGCTGCAAATCCGGCCCGAGCAGCCCGATTCGAATTTCAGAGCTCGGCCTGAGCCGCTCCCTTTCCAGACGTCCGCGCTCGCCCCTCGCCTCCCCGCCCCAGGTCCGCTGCCGCGACCGCCCGGGACAGGGACGGCGCAGGGGCCTCAGCGCGCGTGTCCAGCTCGCGGGATCCGGGTTGCCCGGACGCGGCCGGGTCCCCCGGTCCCGGCCGTCCTTCCTGGCGCGGGGTCTCCCGGCCCTAGGCCGTCCCGGGGTCCCTCCCGGCGCCGGGTCCCCCAGTCCCGGCCGTCCTTCCTGGCGCGGGGTCCCCGGCCCTAGGCCGTCCCGGGGTCCCACCTGGCGCGGGGTCCCCCGGCCCTAGGCCGTCCTTCCTGGCGCGGGGTCTCTCCCGGCGCCGGGTCCCCCAGCCCTAGGCCGTCCCGGGGTCCCTCCCGGCGCCGGGCCCCCCAGCCCTAGCTGTCCCCGGGGCGCCGAGAGTCGGGCGCACTTGCGGCGCGGCCTCACCTGTGCGGGAGGGAGCGCTCGGCGGGGCCGGGGGCGGGCGGCGAGGGGGTCCCGGGTGGCGGCGGGGCGCTCTGGCGGGGTCTGGGCCGGTCCTGGCCGGGGCCGCCTCCGCGCTCGCTGCGGGCTGGGGCGCCGCCGACTGGCTGGGAGTCCCGGAGTGCGGAGCGCGCCGGGCGCTACGGGTCCTCGACACCTGCCTGCTCCGGCGACGCCTTTTAACCGCACCCGACACTCCGCCTCTTCCCCCAAAGCCATTTAGAAAGTTACGGAGGGGGCGGCACCTCGCTGCCCGGCCTCCCTCCCCTGCTGCGGGCGGGGCGCGCGGGGCCTCCCCGGTAGCCGGGGCTTTCCGGGACCCCGACGCCCCCCATCGCCCCTCGAGGTCCCGGGGAGCCCGGGCCGCACAGTGCCCCAAGCACCCCTGAGCGCCTGGATTTCCCCGAGTCCGCGTGCGCGCCACTCCCCGCGCCCCCCCAGCCCCTCCGCCCATGGTCCGAGGGGGCTGGACCTGGCGACCAGAGGAGGATGCAAAGCCCCAAGCCTCGGCTCCCTGCATTTCGGGGATGGGTGGGGTTAAAGGACAGTCGTTGTTGCTGTTATTGTTATTCTGCTTTAGTCCAAAGAGTACGATTGCATTTAAAGCTCTGCTTTACTCGTTTTTTAATTATTGGGAAAACAGGAGTTCCCGACGATTTGAAGATTGAAGCTCAGGCTGTGGAGGTTCCAGTTCCGCTGCGGGGCGGCGACACAGGGTCGGTTCCCCCCTTGGATTTTGGGTTCGGAGTGGCAGGCGGGTGGGCCACCAGGGCTGGCCAAGTCCCTGCTTCTTTCGCCCCCCCCCCCCGGAATCTCACAGGCAAACTCAGCCAGCGCCTGCCTGGATTCCCTTTTTTTTTTTTTTTT